TGTGCATGGAAAGCAAATTCTGTACTACTTCCCCTTTTCTCTTGGATTAACTGAGGTCAAATATTTCTTTACTAATTTCTTTTAATAAATACCCATTTTATTAACAATAAATTACACATGCTAAATTTAATGTTTAATAAAACCATTATATTAACTCTCTCTTTTTTTTTACTTACCACCTTCATCTAACAGCCTTTCAACCCTACTGAGAATGGCATGGTAATGCTTCAAGAGAGTTTCATCGACAGCTTGGGAGGAATGGTGGTGTATGCTCCAATTGATGTGCCAGCCATGAATGTGGCAATAACCGGTGATGACATTAATAAGAGCATTCCTATTCTTCCCTCAGGCTTTGTGATTTCTACCGACGGTCGTCAAAATAATACAGGAGGAGCTTCAACCAGTGCTGATACTAGCTTAGGTATGAGGAGAGGTGGCGGTTCTCTTATAACAGTGGTTTTTCAAGTAGTGGTTTCTACAAAGGACCTGAACATGGAATCTGTAGCCACTGTCAAAAATCTTATCAGCTCAACGATTCAGAGGATTAAAGATGTTCTTAATTGCTCTAATATTGAGTAGAATAATGTATTAAATGTTTGTTGTTGTGAACATCAGAACTTCAATTGTAATGTCGATTGCTTAAAATCATAGATAGATATTTTGTTGTGTTAGAAATTTTTTTGCGAAAATGGATCACATAACAGCAATCAATCTACTCCACCTCCATTAACCGCAAGAAAATTAACTGGCCAGGAGATTCATCGGCAAGTTCAATCACACAAACAAATGCCGTGAGATAGAGAAGAGAAATACCTGGTGCCGGCCGTATCCTTCCACGCAATCCTAGGAAAAACCTAAAACTGCGCGAATAGGAAAGAACCGAAAAAAGGAAAACCGAAAGCCGAGGACACGGCGAAGAAAGAAAGAAGAGGAGGCAGAAGTTCCGGCGACTTTGGCTGATGGCTGGACGGTGACTGGCGTGAAAATGAGGAATCGGACGGCGGGTAGCAGCGGTAGGGATTGGCAGTTGAAAGACAGACGACTACTGTGTGTAGACAGAGCCAATGATATCCACGAAGCCCGATTTGGATTAAGCCCGGTTTTTTTATCTCAAATAAATAAAAAATAAAAATTCATTTTACTTTCCTTAAATGCCCTTATTTTTTAATTTTTTAATTATAAAAAAAAACTTTAACTTTTATTACAAATTTATAATTAAAATTTCAAAAGTCAATTTCATTAAATATATAATTTAATTTTTTTAAATATGCAACATTTTTTATAATTATATTTACCTTCCATTAAAAAAATTAGTGAATAAATTTTTAAAATTCACAACATAAAAAATTATTTTTATTATTAAATTACTCCTATATTAAATATAAAAATTAACCAAATTAATTTTTTTTTAATGCAAGTTTGTTGTGTTTTAATCGTTAAAACCCTTTTTATAATACTTATAACATAAAATATAATTTTCTTTTGTTATTAATAAAATATAAATGCCAAAATGTTATTTAAGTTTTTTATTAAAATTCTACACGAGAATTTTTGTCTGAAAATCACTGGTTTAATTTTAATTAATTATAACAAAAAAAAAAATCACATCTCTTTATTTGGTTAATTTGGTTCTTTTATATTAAAATTAATATACTTGAACTTAATTTATAAATATAATTTTTTTATGAAAAAATGAAGAAAAATAGGTGAGGATGAAATTGAAAATAATTTTGAGAAAAAATAGCGAAAATTTGGGTTCTGGGGATATTTTTGAAAGAAAAATTAAAAACTGGAGGTTAAAACGCAATTTAAAAAAGTCGTACCACGTAGGATACCCAGTCAACAGCCTTAACGAACCGGAGTGCATCACGTGGTAAGGGATGCTGACGTGGTGCCATGCGGGGGGCTACGCTGGCGATCCGCGCGGGCAATCGGATGGTCAAATTTAAACACGATCAACGGTTCAGATCTACTTCCTATTTAAATACGATCGGACGGTTTAGATCAGATCGCAATAAACGGTCCAGATTTACTGTCTATTTAATCGCGATCGGACGGTTCAGATCAAACGTGATGAGCGACCCAGATTAAAGAGGACGGATATAAATACCCATCTTCACACCAAATCC